TTTTTTAAAAAATTATTCCCTCTTTTAAGAATGTAAACCTCCATACTTCCCTCCAATTTGGGGCCCCTTTAATCACCACAAACCATTCCTTAAGCACTTAGGAATTCAAGTAGTACTGCTTCAGGACTGAAACTTTTTAGATGCCATAAAGACAACTTGAAGCCATCTTTGTTTTCTAGGCCAAAATCTGTAATTTTTATTGCTCATCTGCATTATTCTGCTCATTAAAAAAAAAAGGTGGCCGGGCGCGGTGGCTCACGCCTGTAATCCCAGCACTTTGGGAGGCCGAGGCGGGTGGATCACGACGTCAAGAGATCGAGACCATCCTGGTCAACATGGTGAAACCCCGTCTCTACTAAAACTACAAAAAATTAGCTGGGCATGGTGGCGCGTGCCTGTAATCCCAGCTACTCAGGATGCTGAGGCAGGAGAATTGCCTGAACCCAGGAGGCGGAGGTTGCGGTGAGCCGAGATTGTGCCATTGCACTCCAGCCTGGGTAACAAGAACGAAACTCCGTCCAAAAAAAAAAAAACGGTAAGCATGGCTGTTGAGACTTGCCTTCTCTCTTGCTATTGGCTGCGGGAGTCAGCAGAACCTGGCAAAGTTGCCGTGATGGTGAGAATGGTGAGGGAGGTTCCAGTGATGGGCACAAGTGTTGTTGCCAGCTAGGTGTGTGCAGGCAGTGGAAGGAGGTCTGACCGGAATATCAACAGAGGGTGGTAATACCTCTTAAGGACCCACCGAATGGGCTCCTAGGGACTGAAGAGTGAGTAGAGCCAACACTGCCCCCAGCACTCAGACAACAAACATTGAATAGGATTGAATTGAATTAAACTGAACCCGGAAAAGGGCAGCATTTTAAAAGCCGAGAGAATAATTCGAAACAAATTTAGGGAGAAAGTAGAGTGATGTCAGATGTATGCTAATTGGGACTGCTTTTTTTAAGGTGAAAAAGAAATCATTTCACTTTAGGTTAATGTAGGCCTCACTGAAGAAAAGACCTGAGTGGGCTGGGTTTATAACAGATACTCTGAGCGCTGGCCAGATTGTTTGCAGGGGATTAAAGTACTTGTTCTTTTAAACACTTGGCAGTCATAGAATCCAAAATCTGGATCAGGCGGATAACAAGAAATCTGCTATTCCATAGCTTCTCAAACTTCAACGTGCAAAGGAATCACCCAGGCAGCATTTTTAAAATGCAGATTCTGATCCAGTGGGACTGGGGTGAGGCCTGAAACTCTTCCCTTATAACAAGCTCCAGATGAAGCTGATGTCTAAGGACCTCACTTTGATATTTTTTTTTTTCAGATTTCATAGGATAGTACCTCACTTTGAAAGGAAAGGATATGTTTTAACCTCCTTGTTTCCTAGAGGTGAAACTGAGGCTCTGAGAAGTGAAATGTCTTGCCTATGCTCCCAGAGTCTCTGGCTCTAGTTATTTCCCTTTTTTTTTTTTTCTATTGCACTTTGATGTTTTATTGAGAAAGTCAGTAGAAATCACAGCACCCCATAAAGCTACCTGCTTGTTGATGGCCAAGGCATGTTGGCAGCTTAGATGGTACCAAGGGCAGAGTAGGACAAAGCCTGGAAGAAGGAGGAGGAGGTGGTGACCAAGTGTTGCTGGCCAACAAAGTCATGCTAACACTTATGGCAGGTGTATTTAAATCACTGACTCAAGCAAAAGAGAATGGGATTAACAGATAATAGTTTTAACATTCTTTTCTATAATTTTAAAGTTAGTAGGCAAACGGAGTTGATGTCAGGGAGATATTTTTAGGCAAGGGGCCCTCTCAGCACCCCTCACATGATGTCAGTGACTAAACTATTCAGCCTTGTCATGTGGCTAGCCCTGGCAATAATGATTTATTTCTGAGCTTTAACTTCAGTGAAAGTGACAAGGTTAAAAGTTAAAAGTCAAAGATATTTTTAACTTTTAACTTATTAACCAGCCAATTAATTAGTTACTTTAATTAGGCATTGTTGAACTGCTTCCCTGCTATGGAAAAATTTAATTGTAGGGAAAGAAAATGTATAAAGTTAATTATAAAGTAATCCATTTGTCTTCCTAATGTTTTAACAAGATCAATCTGCTGAGGATAATTCCCACATTAGACCCATTGGTGGGTCCTTAAGAGGTATTATCACCCTCTGTTGATAGTCTGGTCAGACCTCCTTCCACTGCCGGCACATACCTCACTGGTGACAACACTTGTGCCCATAATCCTTTGCTTCCAGGCTGCAATTCCAGTACCTTCACTGTATCCTAAAAACATAACTACCCTCTCCCAGATCCATTCCACTTCAGAATCTGAATTCTCCACCTATACTAGAAATCTCTCTACCTTTATACTTATTAGTTATTTAATTAGCTGGTTAATTCTCACATCTGGTGCTTCCATACTAGTACTATTGTACTAAATTACTGTTGTATTGGCCAAGAAAGTGCTAAAGTAACTGGATTATCTAGGGGTAGCTGTGAGTCAATCTGTCTGTTTGGTTACTTGTAAGCCAACACACCCTAGTTTTACCAGGACAGCACCCCAGAATACACCTTGGAGACCTTGGTGCTTGGAAGCTCTGGAAAAATTAAATGAAGTTAGGTGATTATACACAGTGAATTTGCTTGTGCCCAGAAAACAGGCATAATTATAACCCAGACACACACCTATAGTGGAGACATGGGGTACATATGAAGGGTACAGAGACAGACAGGAAGGAACCAGGAGTTAGGGTTTCTGAATAGTTGCTTTAGGTCTCCTTTTACTTGGCATCAGTGGCGTTAGCCTGTACACTTCAAAGGTCAGAGTGTACAGAATCCCTTTTGCTGCATAGGCCACTTCCCAGGATGTCCTGAGCTGAACTTTGAACCAGTGAAAAACAAGAAAATAAACACTGCTCCCCTACCCTGCCAACTTTTAGTGCATGCAACACTATACAGCTATTCTAGAAGCAAGAAATTATCTATCTATAATTATAACTTTTAAAACCTCAAGTATCATTAGTCATTTTACTTTTGTCCCTCTGAATATGCAAAATTGTTCAACCTTGTAACAATCTTTGGTTTTCATGCACAATCCTATGCAAGGTTTTCAACTTTAAAAATATTTCACTTATATTCCATGGATGCACTTTGGACTCAAGAGAGCTGGGGAGGAGAGGGCCACACTTAGAGAATATTGTTGGAGAAAAAATGGCTTTAAACTCTGCAGACAGAGTTTCAATAGTACATGCAGAAAATACAATTGTGCTTATTAACTGATAGTGTGACACAGCAGATGAGCTTAAGCTGCGTGAGAATGACTTGCAATTAAACACAGCAAGTGTTGGCTGAAGAAAAAGTCACAGAATTTAGACCTTAGAAAATAGAAATTCTGGGCCGGGCACAGTGGCTCACGCATGTAATCCCAGCACTTTGGGAGGCTGAGGTGGGCAGATCAACTGAGATCAGGAGTTCGAGACCAGCCTGGCCAACATGGCGAAACCTTGTCTCTACTAAAAATTAAAAAATTAGCTGGGCATGGTGGCATGTGCCTGTAGTTTCAGCTACTTGGGACGCTGAGGCAGGAGATTCGCTTGAACCCGGGAGGCAGAGGTTGCAGTGAGCCGAGATCATGCCATTGCACTCCAGTCTGGGATACAAGAGCGAAACTCCATCTCAAAAAGAAAAAAAAAAAAAGAAAATAGAAATTCTGACCAGGCACAGTGACTCATCCTTGTATTCCCAGAACTTTGGGAGGCTGAGGCAGGTGGATCACTTGAGGTCAGTAGTTCAAGACCAGCCTGGCCAATATAGTGAAACTCCGTCTCTACTAAAAATACAAAAGTTAGCTGGGCTTGGTGGCACAGGCCTGTAGTCCCAGCTACTCAAGAAGCTGAGGTAGGAGCATCTCTTGAACCTAGAAGGTGGAGGTTGCAATGAGCTGAGATTGCGCCACTGCACTCCAGCCTGGGTGAGAGAGTGCGACTCTGTCTCAAAAAATAATAACAATAAATAAATTAAATAAATAGAAAATAGAAATTCTGGGCCAGCCATGGTGGCTCACACCTGTAATCCCAGCACTTTGGGAGGCTGAGGTCAGCGGATCACTCGAGGCCAGGAGTTTGAGAGTAGCCTGGCCATCAAGGTGAAACCCTGTCTCTTCTAAAAAAAATCCAAAAATTGGCCAGGTGTGGTGGCAGGTGCCTGTAGTCTCAGCTACTCAGGTGGTTGAGGCAGGAGAATCACTTGAACTTGGGAGGCAGGAGCTACAGTGAGCGGAGATGGTGCCATTGCACTCCAGCCTGGGTGACAGAGCAAGACTCTCTCTCAAAAAAGAAAGAAAAGAAAATAGAGCTGAGCGTGGTGGCTCACACTTGTAATCCCAGCACTTTAGGAGGCTGAGGCGAGTAGATCACAAAGTTAGGAGTTTGAGACCAGCCTGGCCAATATAATGAAACCCCATCTCTACGAAAAATACAAAAAATATTAGCCAGCTACTCAGAAGGCTGAGGAAGGAGAATAGCTTGAACCCGGGAGGCGGAGGTTGCAGTGAGCCAAGATCATGCCACTGCACTCCAGCCTGGGTGACAGAGCGAGACTCTCCCAAATAAAAAAAAAAAAAAAAAGAAAGAAAATAGAAATTCTGGGTTCTAGGCCTTCTGCTTGTTTCCCTACCACCTCCTCCACTCCCCTGCACCCTCCCCCTTCCCACCACCATCACCATGTTGTAACTTTACAGATATCACATAACTATTCTGGTTGATTATAGAAGAAAGAACCTAAGCTGTCAGAAAGCAAGTACTCCACCTGCTCTAAGATTTTTATATTGGAAGCAGAAACTTAGGCATGGCTGTATCTTATTCTCAGTGCCAGCCTTTCCCCCACATCTTTACATAACTAATTTGCTTAACAATCATCCCCTTCCCCAGGACACAAAAGTGATATGCAGCTCAGCTTCATCTGCATATTCACCTCTGAAGGTCCTCGTCATGGTGCACCTGCTCCTGCTTGAATGCTTACCTTAATGGAACGGGCTGAGTCAGCATCTGCTTGCACCTGAACCCTTCACTGCAAGTAAGCAGATTGCCGGGAGATGGCCAGGGTGCATCAGCTGCAATAGAGGACAGAGTTCTGTTAGGAAGGCAGGGAAAGGAGAGAAAACTTCAACAGAAATAGTCCAAGTGTTGCGAAGTTAAAAATAAAACTATATCACAAGGGGCAATGTGACCAGGCTCAGCTTACGACTTTTTCCTTCCCCTGTATTTATCAACACTCAGCCTCTACCGGAGTGGCATTTAGCAGAGGAAACTGAATGGGAAGTAAGGTTTTATACCAATAGGTTTTCTATCCCTTGAGGAAGGAGGAAAATCTTTTTAAGAAGGATCACTTTCAAGGCTAGAGAAGCCTCTCAGATTCCTGCATGTGCAAGTGGCTGGCCCAGCTGTGCTGGAGGAGGCTGGCAGAGCATTCAGGACCGGCTGCTCCTCTAATTATAACCATGCTCCTCACCTAAACCCATCACTGGCTGAAGCAGCAACTTGTGCAAGTGACATGCTTTCCTGCTTTAGTTTCTCCTGTCTCTTGTCATGACAAGTAAGTGTCTGTCCTCCCCCGGCCCTTGTCTTTCCTAGGTGGCTGGGAAAGGGAGAGTTTGTAATTCAGAAGCCAGGTGTAGAGCTAACCCACTGTGAGAGAATTAGAGGTTGTAGGAGGCTTTAGATATCATTTCGTCCAACTCCCTCTTTTTACAGAGGAGGAGACGGAGATTCAGAAGAGGGAAATTCCTCATCCAACATCACACATCTCATTAGTGGAAGAGCCAGAGGAAAGCCACAGAGAACTTGTTTAACTCCCAATCTGATGTTCTTTATCTTATCATCTCGATAAACTCATTCAGCTATCTTGTGAGGAAAGAAACTATAGAATTCTGACTAGTGTTTTCTAGGTATGTGATTTTGACCAATTTACTTAACCATCTTCTATTTTGGTTTTCCGTACTGTGAAATGGCGATGATACTTAGTGTAACCACCTGTAACTATGTCAATACACATAAGGCACATGAATGATATGTACCATATACAAGATGCTCAACAATGCCCACTGTTATTTGAATGTATTTTGACTCAGAGCAGGTGTGCTAAATTCAGCTGTGATTAACAGCCATCGAATTAACCATTCCCCTGGATTCTTCCATACATATTTCTCCATGGAGGCAAGCTTATTTGGAATGAGCAAATAGCAGTTGAAAATTGTAAAAACTTTCTACATTGATTTTGTATCTTGAAACTTTGCTGAACTGGTTTATTAGTTGTAATAGTTTTCTTGTGGATTCCTTAGGATTTTAAGGTCATGCCATCTGTTAACAGAAATATTTTAACTTCTTTCTTTTCAATTTGGATGCCTTTTACTTTCTTTTCTTGCCATTTCCCCTGGCCGAGAACTTCCAGCACTATGTTCTCACTGTGTTTGGTGAGCGTGAGGGTGGCCACACTTCACTTGTTCCGATTTTAGTGGGGAAGCATTCAGTCTTCCACTGATAAGTATGATGCCTGTGGATTTTTGTAGATGACCTTTATCAAGCTGAAAGACAGGAGTTTGATAGTTTGTTCTAGTTTGTTGAGTGAATCAAGAGAGAATGTGAGTCTTCAGCAAATGCCTTTTCTGTGCCCAGCAAGATGATCATGTGGTTTCTGTCCTTTATTCTATTAATATCTTGTATTACACTGATGAATTTTTTTTATGTTGAAACAATCTTCCATTCCTACTTGGTCTGGTATATGTTCTTTTTATATGTTGCTAAATTTAGTTTGTTAGTATTTTATTGAGGATTTTTTTCTAGTCAGATAGGTAATGTGCCAACGTCGAAATGAGGTTTGAGGGTGGCACTCTCACACATCTGTGTGAATGCCCAGTCATCATGCTCATGAGCTACAAAAGGATCTTATTGAGGATTTTTGCATTTATATTCAGAAGAGATGTTACAGGTTGAGCATCCCCAATCTGAAAATCTGAATTCCAAAATGGTTTAAAATCCAAAACTCTTTGTGCTCTAACATGACACCATAAGAGGGGAGTTTCACACTTGGCCTCACGTGATGAGTCATAGTCAAAATGCAGTCAAAACTTTGTTTCATGCAGAGTTATTTAAAATATTGTACAATTACCTTCAGGCTATGTATATAAGGTATATATGAAACATAAATGAGTTGTTTAGACTGGTGTCCCATCCCCAAGATACCTTATTATGTGTGTGCAAATATTCTGAATGCAAAGAACTCCAAATCTAAAACACTTCTGGTTCCAAGCATTTCCAATAAGGGATACTCACTATAGTCCATAGTTCCCTTATGGTGTCTTTGTTCAGCTTTGGTATCCAGGTAATATCAATCTCATAAAATGAGTTCCTTCCTCTTTTGTTTTTTGGAAAAGTTGTGAGGGATTGGTGTTAATTCTTCTTTAAACATTTTGGTAGATTTTAGCAGTGAAGCCATCTGGAACTGGGCTTTTCTTTGTGGGAAGTTTTCGATTGTCAACTCAATCTCTGTGCTTATTATAACTCTGTCTTAGTCTGTTTTTGTGTTGTTATAACAGAATACCTGAATCTGGGTAATTTATGAAGAGAGATTTATTTCTTACAGTTCTGAAGGCTAGGAAGTCTTCCAGCCTTAGATGGAAGATGGAGGGGCGACATCTAGCCAGGGTCTTCATGTTTCATCCTCCCATGGCAGAAAGAAGGGGGGGCGGGGAGAGGGAGAGAAAGGTGGGGGGGGGGGGTGGGGGAGAGAGAGATTTGGAGAAGAGGGCTGAACCCATCCTTTTATCCTTTTATCAGGAACCCACTTCTGAGACAACTAATCCACTCCTATTAATTTAATGGCATTAATTCAACACTTGCTTTGGGGATTAAGTTTCCAATGCATGAGCTGTGTGGGACACATTCATACCATAGCAAACTCTATTCATAAGATTCATTTCTTGTGGAGTCAGATTTGGTATTCTGTGGCTTCCTAGGAATTTGTCCATTTCATTTAAATTATCTAATTTGTTGGCATTCAATTGTTCATAGTATTTCTTTTTAATAATTTTTATTTCTACAAGGTTTATAGTAAAATCTTGACTTTTGTTTCTGATTCTAGTAATTTGAGTCTTTTGGGGGCTTTGTCAATCTAGCTAAACCTTTGCCATTTTGTTAATCTTTTCAAAGAACCAGCTCTTGATTTCATAGTTTTTTTCCCTATTGCTTTTCTGTTCTCTATTTCATTTACTTCTGCTCTAAGCTTTCCTTCTCTCTGGCTTCTTTGGACTGTTATTATCAATTATTGAGAGTGTTGTATGAATATACCACATTATGACTATATATTGGTGACATTTTCTTAAGAATTTTAATTTTCAGCAGGGCACGGTGGCTCATGCCTGTAATCCTAGCACTCTGGGAGGCCGAGGTAGGTAGATCACAAGGTCAAGCGATCAAGACCATCCTGGCCAACATGGTGAAACCATGTCTTTACTAAAAATACAAAAATTAGCTGGACATGGTGGCGCGCACCTGTAGTCCCAGCTACTAGGGAGGCTGAGGTAGGACAATCGCTTGAACCCGGGAGGTGGAGGTTGCAGTGAGCCAAGATTGCACCACTGCATTCTAGCCTGGCATCAGAGCAAGACTCTGAAAAAAAATTATTTTTTTAATTTTTGTTAAAATTTGCCTCATATATTTTGGGTATTTGTTTTTAAGTATATACAAGTTCAGAGTTATTGTATATTTCAAGTTAATTGTTCCTTTGTTGTTGTCTGATATATTTTCTTTCTTTTTTGAGATGGAGTTTTGCTCTTGCTGCCCAGGCTGGAGTGCAATAGCACAATCTTGGCTTACCACAACCTCCGCTTCCTGTGTTCAAGTGATTCTCCTGCCTCAGCCTCCCAAGAAAATGAAATTTTCATTTGGAAAAATTTCATATTTCCAAATGAAATAGAGAATAGAAAAGCAATAGAGAAAAAATTATGGTCAGGCTAGTCTCGAACTCCTGACCTCAGGTGATCTGCCTGCCTCAGCCTTTCAAAGAGCTGGGATTATAGGCATGAGCCACTGCGCCTGGACTAATATACTTTATTTCTAAAAACTGTTTTGGCCAGACGAGGTGGCTCACACCAGTAATCTCAGCCCTTTGGGAGGCCGAGGCAGGAGGACCACTTGAGCTCAGGAGTTTGTGGCCAGCCTAGGCAACATGGCAAACTCCCGTCTCCACTAAAAATACAAAAATTAGCTAGGCATGGTGGCAGGTGCCTGTAATCCCAGCTACATGGGAGGCTGAGGTAGGAAAATTACTTGAACCCCAGGAGGTGGAGGTTGCAGGAGCTGAGATTGCATCACTGCACTCCAGCCTGGGTGACATTGTGAGACTGTCTCAAAAAAAAAAAAAAAAAAAAGCCAGGTGTGGTGGTGGGCACCTGTAGTCCTAGCTACTCAGGAGGCTGAGGATCACCTGAGCCCAGGAGGTGAAGGCTTTGGTGAGCCATGATCATACCACTGCATTCCAGCCTGGGTGACAGAGTGAGACTTAGTTGCAAAAAAATAAATAAAGTGGATAACCCCCAAAACCACTGTCCTACTTTTAGAAAATCCAAGATAGCTTTGGGAAGGGAATTTTGTGGTCTCACTGGCGATGTAAGGGACTAGAAAGGCTTCTCAGGGAGAATTGTGGGGCTGATTGCATAGTGCTGAGCTATATTTGGAAAACTCTTTTCATAATATTTGCATGGAAATCAAAGAGACACAGACCCAGATGTTTGGGTTAAAACCAGACAAAGGAAAAAAAAAAAAACACAGTCAGGTACAAGAGGCAAGACCTCTTTAAAAAAAAATTTTTTTTTTTTTTAATTAAAAAAAATTTTTTTTTGAGTTTCACCATGTTGACCAGGCTGGTCTTGAACTCCTGACCTCAGGTGAACTGACGGCCTCGGCCTCCCAAAGTGCTGGGATTACAGAAGTGAGCCACCGCACCCCGCCATTTTTCTTTCTTTTTGCTTTTTTTATTAAAAAATTTTTTTTTTTTTAAATTTAAAGACTTCTTTTCTAGGCCAGGTGCGGTGGCTCACACCTGTAATCCTAACACTTTGGGAGGCTGAGGTGGGTGGATCACCTGAGGTCAGGAGTTCAAGACCAGCCTGGCCATCATGGTGAAACCTCATCTTTAAAAAAAAAAAAGACCTCTTTTCTAAATGATCCATATTTATTAGTACTCTGATCAGAGAAATTCAAAGGCTGGCATATTGGAGGTTTTCTAGAATTCTAGGCTGTCTGTTAGACTGTAGGCTTCAAAGCCTTGGCTTGTCATACTGGGCCAGGTTTGTATGGGAGATAGGCCTACAGATGGACCAGCAAAGATGCTGAGAGAGGAACCCTGTCCTCCTACCTGGTGTTTTGTGGGTGAGAGATACTGATACAGACAGTGGAAAGAAGAGCTGGTTATCTCATTCTCATCAGGAAGATCATACAGTTCTATGACTTGGGATATGTCATAGGCATCAGAGTACAAAGCAGGAACTGAGGCTACCAGCTTCTCCCACTGAGTATCTTGCATTTGGAAATCACTTGTGAGACTCTCAGTGAAGGTAGAGTTCCATGCCCAATTGGAAGGGCCTAAGGGCTGAGGTGGAAGGGAGCTGTAGAAATCTGAAACCACAGGAGAAAAAGCATAAGAAACGATAGATGTTCTCAGGAAGGTGGGCACATCCTTCTTGGATAGAAGGATCTGGTTTGGTAGCATTGCTGATTGCTGCTGCTGTCGCTGCTGCTGCTGTTGCTGCTGCTGCTGCTGCTGCTGCTGCTGCTGCTTTTTCTGTTTGAATCGCCGGTTCCTGAACCAAACCTGGGAGTGGAGGAAGAAAGGAGATGATGGTCTGTTCTTAGAGAAGGCATTTGAGGCTTCTCCTGAATGAAAACAGCCAGATTATAATCTTCATGTCCTCTCCAATTCACCGTGACACTGCGTTCTGCAAGAGCAGTGATGGGCATGACTGGAGTCAATAGGAGGGATGACAAAGATCAGGTCTGGGACCCCAGGAAGGAAGAAAGGGGGTGTGTTTCAGAGTTTGTGCTGGGGGTTCAGAGACAGGGTCATGAACTCGAGAAGAGAGGCTAGTTCAGGGATCTAGGATCTAGGGATAGGTGAAGAATATGAACTGAAGGATTTTCAAGGATTATTTTAGGAGGTCTCTACTATGAAAAATACTCCAATAAAAATGTATGGCCCGTCACGGTGGCTCACGCCTGTAATCTCAGCACAGATTCTGAGGCAAGAGGATCACTTGAGCTCAGGAGTTTGAGACTGGCCTGGGCAACATAGTGAGATCCCATCTCAAAAAGAAAAAAAGAAAAAAGTACAAGAAAAATGTTATGGGCTTAAGCAGGCTCAGAGGTTAGAGGGAGTATTGTTTGTTGGTAGCATTATGAATAAACAGATGGCAGGCCTTTGCTTTGAAAAGACGCTCAGTGAGGAGTCTGTCTGGATGAGAGGCTTTCTCCTATTTGAACTCTATAGTACAGTGTTAAAAACAAGATTCCTGGAGTTTTAATTCTAGCAACACTACTTATTATCTCTGTGGCCCAGTCACTCTGCCTCTGAACCTCATTTTTTCTCGTCTTTCAAACTGCATGAAATTGAGGCCAGTGTTTGCGATGCCCCCAGTTTAGTACTGTTTCAGTAGATACTCAATAAATAGAATATTATTGTGGGGCATGGTGAATGGTGGGGAATTTCGAGGCTGGACAGGTGAATGTGGCTTGGATGGGGTACCAAGGACACCTCAGGGATCAGACCTTTATTGTTGATTCTGGTAGGTCGAGTTTCAAAGCTAGTTTCTCCTGACGATTTCTATCTGGGAACATGGTCTCACGAAACAGAGCTTCTAGCTCTTGATACTGTTCGCGGGTGAATGAAGTACGTTCTTGATGCCTTCTCCATGTTGCTTCAGGGCAGAGATAAAGAAGGGGTGGTTACATTTACATTACCGATCTCTCCCCCAACCAAGAAAACAAATAACAAAAAACAAATCACCACTGTGAATTTCCCATGCCTTTCCTCCAGCCAGGATTAGGATCCAGAAAATGCAGATTCCAAGTCTTGAGTCTGAATGGCTGAGCCCTGGGTAACCACGCTCTGTTCTCTGCTTTCTGAGATTTTGTCCCTGATAGGACATCAGTTACCTTTTCAATTTTCTCTGCATTCAGTCTGTTCACTATGGAAGCTGGCTCCCTTGATTTTCAGTTTGCCCACCTGCACTGAAAAGCTTTCTGTTTTACTTTTTTTCTGTGTTACTCAGTCTTTCTACCCTACCTAACCTCAGGAAAGTAGATAGTAGCTTCTGTCTTCTCATCTTTTCCACACTTTCATTTTTCTAGAAACTAGGAATATTCTGTGCAAGAGCTAGCCAAAATTAAAAAAAAAAAATTATGAAATAGAAGAAACTAGGAATAAACCCCATGTCTTTGCACCTGAATATAACCCACTCTTCAAAATGGGTTTCCTCTCTTCATTTATTTATTCAGGAACCTAGTCCAACTTGTCTGGCAAATAGGTGCTCTCACTCTCTTTCTCTCTCTCTCTCTACCATGCCTGGTAGGGCTTTTTCTTTTACGGGATTTCTGAGGCTCTATTCACTACTTCGGTGAAAAGATCATAAGAAATCAAATGTGGTCAGCATGATGTGCTTACATCTGTAATCTCAGCACTTATGGGAGGCTAAGGAAAGAGGATCACATGAGTGGAGGTGTTTGAGACCAGCCTGGACAATGTAGGAAGACCCTATCTGAACGAAAAATTTAAAAATTAGCTAGGCATGGTTGCATGTGCCTGTGGTCCCAACTATTCTTGAGGCTGAGGTGGGAGGATTGCTTGAGCCTGGGAGGCTGAGGCTGTAGTGAACCATGATTGTGTCACTGCACAGTCATGTGTCAGCATGGGTGACAGAGTGAGACTCTGTCTCAAAATAAAATAAAAATAAATATGTGTAGAAGTTCTCTAGCAGAACTGCAAAAATGTGTGTGTGTGTGTGTGTGTGTGTGTGTGTGTGTGTGTAGAAGATTGAAGAAGTATAGTTTTTTTAAAATGGCAACGAAAAGGAAAAGTGTTTTTTCTTAAAAAATGAAATTATTGGCCAGGTGTGGTGGCTCATGCCTGTAATTGCAGCATTTTTTTTTTTTTTTTTTAATAAAAATGGGATTTCACCATAATGGCCAGGCTGGTCTTGAACTCCTGACCTCAGGTGATCCACCCATCTCGGCCTCCCAAAGTGCTAGGATTATAGGCATGAGCCACCGCGCCTGGCCAATTGCAGCACTTTGGAAGGCTGAGACAGGTGGATCACTTGAGGCCAGGAGTTTGAGACCAGCCTGACCAACATGGTGAAACCCCATCTTTATTAAAACTATAAAAATTAGCCAGGCATAGTGGTGCATGCATGTAATCCCAGCTACCAGGGAAGCTGAGGCAGGAGAATCACTCACTGTGGAGGTTGCAGTGAGCCAAGATCACGCCACTGCTCTCTGGCCTGGGTGACAGAGTGAGATTCCATCTCTACAAAAAAACAACAACCCACAATTATCAAAAATTTGACCATGCACAGTGGCTCACACCTGTAATCCCAGCACTTTGGGAAGCCAAGACAGGATAATTGCTTGAGGTCAGGAATTCAAGACCAGTCTGAGAAACATAATGAGACCCTGTCTCTATAGAAAATGTTTAAAAAATTAGCCAGGAGTGATAGCACATGCCTATGGTCCCAGCTATCGGAGGCTGAGGTGGGAGGATCACTTTAACCCAGGTCAAGGCTGTAGTGAGCTACTATCAGGTCACGGCCCTCCAGTGTGGGCATCAGAAAGAGACCCTGGCTCTAGAAAAATAAATAAAATAAAAATAAAAGGAGGAAAGGTCCTCACTTGGACCTCCCTTCTTATACTTAAAAGTCCATAATACCAATACTAAAATCAGGCAAAAATAAACACTATAGATAAAACTATACACTAATGCCACTTAAGAACGTAGATGAAAATAACCTATATAAAACATATTTTATCCCATTTTAAATGTACATATTCCTAAACTTATAATATTTTTGCAGTTTATATGTATATATTTGAAATCCAATATACTTAGAAATACTTATTTTTTTCTGCTCACATTTAATAACATTATTCTACTCAAACTGTATTTACTTTGGATAGCCATATCTTAAATATTCTGAGCCTGTTCTTTTAATTAAATAACATCATTTTACCAGGCATATATTCTTTGCTTTCAAATAAGTAGTTTGTGATACAATATTTCTGGAATATGTCTATGGCATACTATTATTGGGAATTTTGTTCTAAGCTACAAGAAACTTTTTTATATAATATTAAGATAACCACTTCCCATCCCACTCATCCTATAAGGGTGCATTGTGATTTCCACAACCTAACTACTTACTGTAAATTGTTTAAAAACAAGAACCTGGCCAGGTGCCGTGGCTCATTGGTACTTTGGGAGGCCGAGGTGGGTCATTTGACGATCATTTGAGGTCAGGAGTTCAGGACCAGCCTGGCCAATATTGCAAAACCCCGTCTATACTAAAAATACAAAAATTAGCCAGGCACGATGGCACATGCCTATAGTCCCAGCTACTTGGAAGGTTGAGGCAGGAGAATCACTTGAATTTGGGAGGTAGAGGTTGCAGTGAGCTGAGATTGTGCCAATGCATTCTAGCCTGGGTGACAGAGTGAGACTCCAGCTCAAAAAAAAAAAAGAAAAAAAAAAGCTGGGCATGGTGGCTCACGCCTGTAATCCCAGCACTTTGGAGGCTGAGGTGGATGGATCACGAGGTCAGAAGTTTAAGACCAGCCCGGCCAAAATAGTGAAACCTCATCTCTACTAAAAATATAAAAAAATTAGCTAAGCACAGTGGCAGGCACCTGTAATTCTAGCTACTCTGGAGGCTGAGGCAGAAGAATTGCTTGAACCCGGGCGGCAGGTCGCAGTGAGCCGAGATTGTGCCACTGTACTCCAGCCTGGGTGATAGAGTGAGACTCTGTCTCAAAAAAAAAAAAAAAAAAAAAAAAAATTAGCCTGGTGTGATGGCATGTATTTGCAATCCCAGCTACTCAGGAGGCTAAGGTATGAGAATCACTTGAACCCAGGAGGCAGAGGTTGCAGTGAGCTGAGATTACAACATTGCACTCCTGAGCAACAGAGCGATCCTCCATCTAAAATAATAATAACAAACTTACTGTCTACTGTGTGTATCTAAACACAACATGTACAAGTAAATTAAGTAAAACAAAACTGTATAGATGATAAAGAAAAGGAAGCAATGGTTTTTTGTGCATGTTTTAGCTTTTTACATACTTCTGAATCATTAGCTTCTGTATTTATTCAAAATGTCATCCCTTGAAATAGTACTGTAACGTTTTCATGCCTAAGCTTTATATCCATATCTTGGTGTCCATAATCAGTCTTTTCTGGAAACCCCTCCCTTTTTTTTTAATCTTTTTTTTTTTTAAAGATGGGGTTTCACTATGTTGGTCAGGCTGGTCTTGAACTCCCGACCTCAGGTGATCCGCCCGCCTTGGCCTCCAAAGTGCTTGGATTATAGGCGTGAGCCACTGTGCCCGGCCTTTTTTTTGTCTTTTTCAAATGAGTCTTGGAGCTGTTGGTTGGTTGTGACTTCCCACTTATCTGCCCACAAAGATGCAGAAGGAAGACAGCAGGCATCACCCAGGCTTCGGAAGAGGAGAACCCCCAAATATTAACCAGAATTCACTGGAAAGTTCAGCAGACCATTCTGAGAAAAACATTTGAAACTGAGAGTAGTTCTGCAGACTCCAATGTGAATGAGTGCAAAGAGTTTAAATATGTCTAAAACTGTGGAATAGTCTAGGCCCTATGATCTCATGAAACTAACAAACCAAAGTTCCTTTCCAAAACAAAATGCTGCTGTTAGGGAAAAAACTATGTTTGCATTCTGCTGGAAGGGATTGCT